GGGGGGGGGGGGGGGGGGGGGGGGGGGCGGACCACAGCGTCAATGCGTCGTCCGCGTCGAGCTCGGGCGAGAGCCATGCGGCGCCCTCGACTCCGCCGCCGCACGCACGACTGGCCGAGGCTGAGCAGATGCGCAGCCCGTCGCCGCGGCCCGAGTTCCACCGCGAGTGGAGCTTCGAGTGGGGCAAATCGCGCTCGCGCCAGCTTGCCAGTTCGCAGGACAGCGTCGAGGACTTTTTCGGCATCCTGCGCGAGGACCGTCTGCCGGCGCTGAGCACGTCGGACGAGGCGTTGGATCTGCCGCCCATCGTCGTGCAGGGCAACGGCGCGATTCTGCCCACGGCGCGCATCAACAAGGATGGCAAGCCCGTGTACGGTGGCGCGGCGACGCGCGCCGCGAGCGTGTGGGGAGGACGTCGGCCGCCGGTGGCGCGCTCGGCGTACCTGCGCGAGAGCTTTGACTCGACGGCGGCGGTGGCGCGGCCGGCGACGAGCAGCGCGGTGCAGCACGCGTACGGCCACGAGGCGCACGCTTCGTCCGCATCGAGCCTGGCGGCGCTCGGATCGCGCGCGCTGAGCCGCATGAGCCTGCAGGGCCTCACGGGCGCGTTTTCGGGCCTCAGCGGCTACCTGACCAACCAGTCGGGCGCCGCTGTCACTGCTGCGGCTGCCGCGACGCAGATGTGCAATGCGCAGACCAGGCCCGGTTTCGCGCCCGGCGCGTTCCCGCTGCACGCGGACGTGCTCGAGGAGGAAGAGCGCGCGCCCGTGGGCTGGATCACCCAGCGCCGGCTGGATGAGGACGACGAGGCGCCGGCTAAGAGTCAGGCTGCGAGACGGTACGTGCGCAAGTCGGCCGTGCCGCCGCCCACGCCCACGGCTGTGTGGCTGCTCGATTTCGCCCGCTCCACAGCTCATGCTGGCCCGCTCTTCAACCTTTGATGGCAGCGGGGATGTTTTTCACGATTCAAAACTTTTCGGTTTCTTTTTGCACACACCTACTTTTTGTTCGCAGTCATGTCATGGTTTCCGCATATTTGGCATGTGCATTCAAAGGTCGAGTGATGGGGGTTGCGCGTACGGTGGATGAGAGAGATCTTGTAGAGTGAGTGTTCGTGTAGACATGGTGTGGTCGGAAACGGCAACGTTTGATGGGGTGCACATGCACTGGACTGCGCTTCGTGTTCACGTCATGTTGCTCGTTTCTTTACGCACGCGCGTTCAATGATTGGCCTGTGGCGGTTGCGGGGCTGTCGCGTGCACTTGGAGTGAAAAAGTGGTTGTTGGTGCGTGCATGATGCGGCTAGCAACGGCAACAGGATCCCATCGCGCTTGCATTGCACTGCACCCCACGTTCATCACATGTTACTGGCTACTCATATCACTTCTGCATGAATTGCTGGAGCGTCGGGTGTTGCACTTGGAGCAAAAGATTGTTTGATTGTTCATGCAGGCATACTGCAGCTAGGAGCGGGAACGTGCGATGTGTTGCGCGTGAATTGGGCTGCATTGCGCTGCGCTTCGCGTTCGAGACATGATTTTGTCTTCTGTATTCAACGATATAGCGGAGATTGTCGCGCGCAGGGTGAGCGATTGACTGATTGTTCGTGCAGGCATGTTGTGGTCAGGAGCGGGAACGGGCGATGGGGTGCGCGAGGTAGTAGTCGCCGAGGCTTGTGCGTGGCGGAGTGGGCGGCAGCTGCGGCAGTGCGGGCAGCGACGGCAGGCACTCGCGCGTCAACTCGGGCGAGGACGCCGACGACGGCGGTGGCCAGACGCGACGTGGCTCGGGGACTGTGGCGATGGTGGCGGAGCGCATGCGCATGAGCCCGACCGGGTCGGCTCGCGCAACACGCGGTGCCAGCACCGGCCCAGAAAGGCGACGTGCGGCGCCGTCGATCGCCCTCGCGTCCATCGTGGCATCAAGGTACTGAGGTCGCTCGAGGCGCACGCGCGAGCCATCGTGTGTCCCCCAGCGCGACCGCTCCACCGACGTCCATGGTCGAAGGCGCGGAGGCGAGAGTGGCGGCGCCATGGACCACTCGCCCGCGCTGCTCAGGCCACGCGTCGCCACAT